TCAATATTGCATCAACTACATATGGAAATGCCCTATTGTAATGTGCATGGAATTCATGGATGTGTTCCCTGATTATACGTTATTATCATTGTGCTGTTTGAATTTATTTCTGTAACATGTTTACAGTTATGAAAATGGTGTTGTTAATTCACAATACCCAATAAAGTGTTCTCTGCTGTTGCCTATGAATCAGTGACGTGAACTAATTAATCTTTCTACAGCCTTCTGGAAACTGGAACAAAGGTCATCAGGTGAACTCTAAGTCTCTGGTTCGAGGTGTCATGCGAAGGCTGGGTTTTTGGTGTTGTGTCTGATGTTAGTATACTATCTTTCAAGGTCATGTTCTTTAAAATCATTCCCAAAGCTCGACCTTCGAACAGTGATGAGGAATTAGACTTCCCTGGGTCTTTCATCTATTGCTGTCATGTTTACCTACATCATTATGTAACAGATGTAACCCAATGTTCCCTTCAAGCTGACAGGACACTTCTTTGCTTTTTGCCTATTAGACCTAAATGCATGTATTTTTACATGCAGAAAAGTATGTTGAAGTCATAGTGGCACCAAAATGAATATTGACTCATTTTAAACTTACAGGTTCAAAGTCGGTGGGTGGGTGTTACTTTGTTTTTTCTAAAAATCATGACTTAATAGAGTGCTGATGGCATATTTTTGTAGGCAAAAGCCCAGAAACAGTTTTGCATTTTAGCACTTCCGATTCCATTGCCGTGAAGTCAATGGGGTTTTTAGTTAAATGCCTTAAATAAGATCTTGTGGTGAACACAAGCTCGAGATATTTTCATGATTTATTCCATGACATAAAATACATCAGTAATACCCACTTGTTATTTTTTTTTTTAAAAGCTTTTGCTAGTCTTAAGACAGGCAGTTGCTAACAAGTGTCTAAATGGGACTACAGAGGTTCTCGGAACATTAACCGTCTACAAGGCGAGTTTATTAATATAGCACATTTTATACACATTGGTAATTCAAAATGCTTAACATAAAAGGAATTAAAATAAACATAAAAATAATCACAACAACAAAAGCAAGGAATTAAAATTGTAAAATGATTCAAAAATTGATTTAAATGAATTAAAACAGTTAAGAATAAAAGATGATGATACATAAAATACAGTGCAATCAGTTCAGAGGTAGCATTCAGGAAATGCACAGCTTGAACACATGTGTTTTGAGTCTGGATTTAAATACGGCTACTGTTTTAGCACATCTGATCTCTTCTGGAAGCTGGTTCCAACCACAGGTGGCATAACAGCTAAAAGCGGACTCCCCTTGTTTTGTGTGAACCCTTGGTATTTCTAACTGACTCGATCCTAATGATCCGAGTGGTCTGTTAGGTTTATATTCAGTGAGCATATCTGCAATGTATTCAGGATCCTATGCTATTGAGTGATTTATAAACAAGTATAAATACTTTAAAATTAATCCTTAATGTAACTGGAAGCCAGTGTAAGGACCTGAGGACTGGTGTAATATGCTCAGATTTTCTGGTTCTTGTCAGAATTCTGGCAGCAGTGTTCTGGATGAGCTGCAGCTGTCTAATGGTCTTCTTGTGAAGGCCGGTGAGGAGACCATTACAATAGTCCACCCTGCTGGTGATAAAGGCATGAACAAGTTTCTCCAAGTCTTGACTGGAAACAAAACATCTAATTCTTGCAATGTTTTTGAGATGATAGTATGCTGATTTAGTATTTATTTACTGCTTTGACACGACTACTGAAACTAAGGTCTGACTCTAGAATCACACCAAGATTCTTGATATATTTTTATTCTGATTTATTTTTAAAGTTTTTATTTATATTTATTTTTTTCTTTTCTTTTTCTTTTTACAAGCCAAACAGGTAAATTCACCTACCCACTAGTCCGCTTTTGCAGTTATAATCTCGCACTTGCAAACTATTCGAACTCAAACCTTTAGAGAAAATGTATTTAAATAAAGACAGAGAGTTAATGGTGGTGAGGTGACACTGAAGTTGTGTAGTTCGTTTATAGCCTACATCTAGCTTTCTACTTCGGGCAACTGTAGTTATGCTTCAAAAATCATAGAAGTTCTGTTCATTTGTGAAGACTATCATGTTGTACAACATATGTAAGAATCATAAAGTTTTGTTCATCACAGAGCTTATTTTCTGCAATAATCCAAAAGCCAATGGAAAAAATCCTATACGTCATCACTGCAGCACTGTATAAGGTCATTTTTATGACAAAGTTTTCTGTAAGTGGGTTGGTTTACCCGAAAATGTAAACATTGACAGTCTATGGCACTATCAAAACATAGTTCTGTTTCTTTAAACCTCTTTGTTGGTTGATACAGCAACACTGACTCAACCGATGGTGTAATATTGGGGGCAGGGTTATCTGTTTGACTGACCGGCAATGGCAGATAAAGGGAGTTTTTGGGAAACCTGTTGGAAAACATTATTTTTTTTCAATTCTTGTTGCGGGTGATAATGGTGCAGAAATAACACACATCACTTTCAATAACATAAAAATAACCTCACTCAACATATTATGCTAACTCATTTCTCATATTCAGAATGAGTCTATTTTCCATGTGTCTTTCTTAAGGCTGTTTTGAATGAATATCCATTACCCTGCATTGAAAAAAGAAAAAAAGCACATTAAAAAATTCCAGCTCACCAGGGTTTTGGCTGTAATGGCATAATTGCAATTATTCCAAATTGAGCTAAGAGTCAGTACAAGTACTCCTCTGAGAGCATTCTACCTTTTAGTAAAGTAATTGCTGAAAGCAAACGTTTTTAGCTTCTCATTTGATAGCGATCTTGTAATTTTCTTTAGTTTCCTCAAGCTTGTGTTTTTCCTCATTTGACAGATGTTAGAATTATATTTACTGGCGGAAGTACCAGCAATAAAAGTGCTGCTGTAATGGTTAACTGATTAGGACCGCATCCAATGGTGACAGTGCAGAAACTTTGTGCGAATCAGGCGAGGTCTGCTCCAATCAGCGCGGGCGGACACGTACAACAAACTCATGTGACCTTTGCATCCTCATGTAAACACTGCAGCCTCCTGCAGCAATGTAAATGGGTTCAAAATTAATACTTGCCAAGTCCCAGATGGAAATAAAGATTGGCATATAAATTGGCCAGATGGCTGGTAACTTTGTTAGGAACTGAAAAGACAATACATGATTTCAAATGCAATATTAATCTGAAACTCGCTGATATGAGCATTTCAGATCAAAGACACACAGACCACCTTCTGAAGAGAAACTTTTGCACTTTCTCTACTTTTATCAAAGTGGAAAATCTGATATCAAATTTATTTTGCCTGGTTGAAGTATTCTTTAATTTTTTTTAAATGGAACTCGATGTTATGACACGTGAAATATTCTGGACATTAAGTCAGCAGAATGAAAAAATGAGGAACTCAAAACTAATTTTTTCTTTACGATTTTTGTGACAGCTGCAGTTTCACAGAGAGAAAGGAATTGCCCATAAGGAATATGTTTGTTATTAATATGCAATAAAAATCCAACTAAGTAATTATTTTAGGGGCTTATTTTGCATAAATATGTAAATAAATGCAAAATATGATTTGTGGCTAGTAATAAATATTCATGACCGGTACATTTTCAGCATGCTAAATAAATAAGCACTTGATGATTTTTAATAAAAATGGAATATATTAATGCACAAAATAAAAATGCTGACCTAATTTAACCTGAACACATCAATGTAATAGTTTTGGATCACATGTTTCTTTCTCCTCCCACGTGGAATTTGAATCTTTTTGTCATGTTGTAAAGAATCATTTCATCATGAGTAATAAGATATTAAATGTTTACTGCTGAGGGCATTGTTGACACTAATAAAAAAAATTTATAGTGATCAGCCGGAGAGATAATTATACTAATGTGAGCCCAGGAAACGGGGAGGATTTACAATCTGATTTACATCTTTTATGTACATGTGTGTGCAGACATCTGTGCTTCCAAGTCTGTATTTACCAAAGACACACCCCCTTGTGTCATCCCACCCCGTCTGCTCTGATGTGGCCATGAGCCACAATGCAAGGAAAATCCCACATACGGATCGGAGTATAAATAAGAAGGGGTTGAGGCGCGCTCTTTGCCAGAGATGAGGGATTAAAACCCCAGTTATCCTTCAGTACCTCTGGCTATTCATTCATTCATTCTAAAAAACACACAAAATTGTTGTACAATTATTCATTTTGCGGAAAAAAAAAGCAAAGCAATCACCTTTTACAGGCAGTTTTATACCTTTTCATGCTGTTTCATGCTTGTTTCAGTGCTGACAATTCTGAGAAAAGCAGCACTTTCTGTTCTTGGACTAGATCCACTTCAGGTGGGCAAACACAGTATGCATTTCTCCAAAGGACTCAGACGTCTCTTCTCTTGTATGACAGCATCTGGAACAAAAACAACAGCCTTTTTACCTGCATAACAAGTGATGAGCAATCTGTGATTGACAGTTACCTGTCCAGGTGCTGGGAAGACAGTTCTTTCTCAAAGATGCTTGATGCACGCTTTGACATCAGTGAGCTGATTGATCCTCATGGCCCCTGTGAGGCTGCAGGCATTACGGAGGAATTTACAGCATCTGTACGGAGGGCCAGGGACCTGAGGAGTGTTGGACCTGATGGATTCGTGCACCAGGACAGTGGAGAAAGTTCCATGCAGACACTGCACCGCTCAAAGCGAGCATGGATGATTCCAGGGACTCTGTGGTGTGGCTCAGGAAATAAGGCTATGGCCTTTGTTGACCTGGGTAAGTAGGATTATATCAATCAATCAATCTATCAACATTTTAATTTTATTATTTCTAATTGCAAATATTTCGAATTATATATATATATATATATGTCTGTAAAATATACTAATTTCTGCTGGTAAATAAAGAGATAGAAAATATTGACTATACTATATGGGTGTGCAATATTGACAAAAAATTATATCTCGATATTTTCTGGGATTTTATCGATCGTCTCTTCTCTTGTATGACAGCATCTGGAACAAAAACAACAGCCTTTTTACCTGCATAACAAGTGATGAGCAATCTGTGATTGACAGTTACCTGTCCAGGTGCTGGGAAGACAGTTCTTTCTCAAAGATGCTTGATATAAGGCTATGGCCTTTGCTGACCTGGGTAAGTTGGACTATATCAATCAATTTATATATTATTAAATTATTAGTAATTTTTAAAAATTATTTATAATTTTACATATTTTGATTTTAAATTATATATATAAAAACTTAAAATGATAAATTATAATTTTTATTTTTTTTATATAAGAATTGGTCTGAGAAAGGACTGAGATGACATTGAAAACAGAAGCATTTTCACTAGTAGACTTTTGGACCCCAATGTACATTAAAATAAAATTAAATGTATGCTAAAAATATTTACATAAAGCTAGTTGCACATGTAACATGTAAATTGCACATGTAAATTAAACTAGTTAATGTAAATGTCACGTGCATGTTCCCGTTTAGTCCTGTTTGTCCTTATTTGGTCCTTCCTGTTCCTGTCCCCATTTAGTTCTATTAGTTCCGGGTGTTTCTCATTATTAGTTATCCTCCTCACCTGTCTGCCCCTTGTTATCTGCCCTATTTGAGTTCTAACCCGTTCTGTTCTCCCTTGTTTGGAATTGTTGATGTCAACCCTTGCTACGTGTGTTTTCCTGTTTCCCTGGATATTATTAAAGTCAATAAGTTTGAATTCGACTCTGCGTCTCCTCGTTCCTCGCTCCGTGCTCCTCACAGTAGCGAACCGTGACAGAATTCCAGACCCAACAAAAAAGTACACGGCGCTCCTTCTCCCCGTTTTTGTTTTCGTTTTTTTGAAAGTTTTTTTGTTTTCCCAGTTTTTCCCCCGCGATCATGGAAATCGCCACCTTAGTACGCTTGGGAATTCTGCGGGCTCGTCGCGGCGACGGCTTTGGACGACGCCACGCTCAACTCGTTGTTCTGGATCGGGGCTAATTACCATCGCCCCGTGGACCTCCCAGACACCACTGGACTAAGCTGGAGGGAAGGGATCCTCCGGTCTCTGGAGAGTGTCCGGCCCCGATCCAGAACCAGCTTGCCGTCAAGCCCGTCGGCCTTTCCTACGTCAAGACCGCCGGCTGCCGCTGACTCAGTGCTCTTGGACATGGCGCTACCTCCAGAGTTCTCAGCTCCTATCCTGACCCCAGAATCCGCTCCAGAAAGTTCTCCTTCGTCTCCGCTGGTCCCGTCCAGCTCTCCATCGTCCCCTGAGTCTCCTTCATTTCCTGATTCCCCCGAGTTAGCCAGCCCTGCACCTCCAGAGCGCCCTCCAGTGCCCGCTCCTCCAGAGAGCCCTCCAGTGCCCGCTCCTCTAGAGCGCCCCCCAGAATTCCTAAGTTTCTCCAAGAAAATTTGGGGGGGGGGGCATGTGGCCGAGCCGGCTAAGGTCACGGAGGATCTGCCATGGCCTCCTGAGTCCCCTGATCCGCCATGGCCCCCTGAGCTACCAGCTTCGCCATGGCAACCTGAATTGCCTGCTCCGCCATGGCAACCTGAATTGCCTGCTCCGCCATGGCTCCCGGAGCTCCCTGATCCGGCTCCACCTAGTTCTTGCCCTGCACCAGCCTCCAGGGCACCCGCCCCCCCTCCCCGGTGTAACTGTTACGGTGCGGGACGCGCCTTCCGGGAGGGCTGGGGGGAGTAATGTCACGTGTATGTTCCCGTTTAGTTCCTGTTTGTCCTTATTTGGTCCTTCCTGATCCTGTCCCCATTTAGTTCTATTAGTTCCAGGTGTTTCTCATTATTAGTTATCCTCCTCACCTGTCTGCCCCTTGTTATCTACCCTATTTGAGTTCTAGCCCGTTCTGTTCTCCCTTGTCTGGTATGTTTGATGTCAACCCTTTTCCTGTTTCCCTGGATATTATTAAAGTTAATAAGTTTGAATTCGACTCTGCCTCTCCTCGTTCCTCGCTCCGTGCTCGTCACAGTAGCGAACCGTGACAGTAATTAACTAAAATTAAATTTAAAAAATCTTGACCCGTTTTCTTGTCTTCTGCAGGTGTCTTTGAAGATACTGATAAATGCTGCAGAGAACACGACCACTGTAAAGACACCATTGCTTCTTTTTCATACGACCATGGTGTCTTTAACACCAACATCTTCACTTTATCACACTGCGACTGTGACAACAGGTATGTGAGCATCACTTTCCTGTTGAGAATTCCAGCACTGAACATTCATTCCATAGTGTTCAGTTGTGTAACATGAGACATGTCCAACATAACCAGAGAGTTATTTCACTGAGTGAGCGTCTCGGATTACTGTATCTTATGACATTGTGATCAGGCCTTGTGATATCCATTCAGGTTCCACCGCTGTCTCCTGGGTGTTAATAATACCATGTCCAACCTTGTGGGCTACGGATACTTCAATGTGCTAAAGATGCGCTGCTTTGAGTTCTCTCAACGGATGCAATGTGCCAAGAGAACATGGTGGGGCATGTATGTATCCAGTTTCATTTGACTCAGCTCTTTTCTGTTGCAAAACATTCTCACTTTTCAGAAAATAAAAGCAATAAAGGTAAAACAAGACCTTAAACACAAATATTTTAACCAAAAAGAAGTCTCTTCTGCTCACCAAGGCTGCATTTATTTGATTAAAAATACAGTAAAATCAGTAAAATTCTGAAATATTTTTACAATTTAAAATAACTGTTTTCTATTTGAATATATCTTAATGTAATTTATTCCTGTGATCAAAGCTGAATTTTCAGCATCATTACTCCAGTCTTCGGTGTCACATGATCCTTCAGAAATCATTCTAATATGCTGCTTTGCTGCACAAAAACATTTATGATAATTATCAATGTTGAAAACCGTTGTGCTGCTTCATATTTTTGTGGAAACTGCCACATTTTATTCCAGGATTTACTGATGAATAAAAAGTCCAAAAGAACAGCATTTATTTAAAATAAAAATCTCTTGTAACATTAGAAATGTGTTTACGGTCACTTTTATTGCATCCTTGCTGAATAAAAGTATTCTTTAATAGAAGTAAAAAACAAACAAAAAACTTTTGAATGGTAGATGTTGTGCACACACTTCAAATTTAAAAATACAATCATTTTATTTTAAATCGGCACAGGTTTTTCAATTTTTATTATTAGATTTAGTGAATAATGGCAGAATTAAAATTTTAGGTCAAAATGCAATCGGGTTAAATCCTTTAAATGTCATACACAAAACAAGCAAAAACCTTGTTGAACTTTGGAAATTGTTCTATTTGAAAACTTGGCACTTCAGTGAGATTTGTACATGCAGTAATCTCTGAGCACATAACGTTGTGTACACCGTTACAGAACCTTGTTGGTTTTCTCATTGGCAGGTGTGCAATTTATGAACTTGCTCAATATGCTGTGGTAAAAGATGCAGCAAACTACACTGACACACTCCCAGACCAAGACATGGAGATGCTGGAAACGAGTTTTCACCAAGCAATCACTCTGGGACAAAACCAGGTCACCAAAAACACAGACGAATCACTTAGTATACAAGCTTCCAAGAGCGGCAGTGAAGAACCGAGTCCAGTTTCAACATCACCAGGGCCATCTGTTACAACACTGCTGTCCCGGAAATCTGAAGCTTCCGTACTTCCAACAGAAGCACCAAATATAACAACAGACAGACCACAAAAAGGTGAGCTAAATATTACTCCTATCAGATCTGTTGTAAATCGAGCAAACTGACAATCTTGTAAAAGCTTCACTTTTTTTTTATTATTTTGTTTTGCATAGGCAAGTTTGAGATGTGTGAGCTCTACAGAGACCTGGATTCATGCCATCTACAGATCCCTGCTTTACAGCAGAAATTCGGTCTACGAAACTCTGGCATTAGAACCCTTTACGACTGTAACTGTACTGCCAGGTGAATGCACATTTAATATATACACCCAAATTTGAACACCATGTCTCTATTAGGGATGCGCAAATATTTCACTCAAAAATGAAAATTTGCTTAAATTTGCTCACCTTCAGGCCATCCAAGATGTAGATGTGTTTGTATCTTCAGTAGAACAGATTTAGAGAAATGTAGCATTGCATCACTTGCTCACCAATGGATCCTCTGCAGCGAATGGGTGCCGTCAGAATGAGTCCAAACAGCTGATAAAAATATCACAATAATCCACAAGTAATCCACACCACTCCAGTCCAAAAATGAACATCTTGTGAAGCCAAAAGCTGTGTTTGTAAAAAAACAAATCCATCAAGACATTTTTAACTTCAAACAAGTCTTTTATCCATAATAACACTGCTTTCTCCAGTGGAGAAAAGTTTGAATCCGTAGAGAAATCTGCACCGTTTACAAGCAAATACAGCTCTAAACAAATATGTTGGTGGATTTTGATGTGAGAGGACAACAGGGAGAAAACATTGTTATGGATTATGGACTCACATTTTGGCCAGAAGCAATGGTTTAAAGCTAAAACGCCTTAAAGGGGTCATATGATGCAATTTCATTTTTTCCTTTCTCTTTGGAGTGTTACAAGCTCTTGGTGCATAAAGAAGATCTGTAAATTTGCAAAATGTACAGTATGTGGAAAATAATGCGTTTTTTTAACTTTAAACCGCATAAACACATTTCATTACACCAAATACACAAAATAATGTTCTTTTTAGCAGCATCATATGACCCCTTTAATGATTAATTTGTTTACTACAAACACAGCTTTTCATTTCACAAGATGCTATTTGATGAACAAGAGTGGTGTGGATTACTTGTGGATTATTGTGGTGTTTTCATCAGCTGTTTGGACTCTCATTCTGACGGCACCCATTCACTGCAGAGGATCTGAGGGTGAGTACATTTTCAGCTAATACCACTTTTAGGAGAACTATTCCTTTAAGCAAGTAAAGAACATGTAGGCAGGTTTTGGGTTAATCTGTGCATGATTTTTCGCTGCTATCTACTGATACATGCTGCTTTCTCAGACTCGTCCAAAAGATCTTGTCCAAAGAACTGGATGAAACTGACCCTGTACATTCGCTGTTGATGGATTTCGTATCACAATCCTGCTTCACCCTATCACAGTCTGAGAACTGCATCAATGGAAAAAGGTTGGTATAGACATTATGGTTAAATATCTGGGCTGGTAACTCAAAAGTTGGTTGATTCAGGTTAATTGTTCCCAAATGTGTGCTGTGAATGACAATGAATCTACTAAACAAAGAATAATGTAATACAGGTTAATTGTCTCCAAATGTGTGCTGTGAATGACGATGAAGCTACTAAACAAAGAATAATGTAATACAAATAATTTAAAGAATGGATAGGCCTAGTTAATCAAAGTGCTTCTGAGATGTAAACCATGAAACAAAAAGCAATCTTCGTGGTTTATCTTCTATTTAGTTGCTCAACTCATCCACCAGAAATACAGCTCATCCAAAATTGGGGGAAAGACATGACAGGAGGGCGACATCTAGTGGACTTCAAACGCAAACTCAAGAGGATGAACCCTAAACGCTCCAAGAGGAAAGAGTCGCCAGTCAGATTATATAAGAAATGCAGCAGGATGCACACTAAACTGCAAAAACCTAGAGTTCCTAAACGGAAACGGTCATAAAGCCTGTTTCAGCTTACCAAAGTGGCAAAGAACGAACAATGGGAAACAATAGCAATACAAATGCTCTTATGAAACAGCTTATGTACATTAGGAGTCATTGGGAGAAACGCTCCCTTCTTTAACTCTCAACCTGCCACAAATGTACTTTTTGGTATTGGAAGTTTGTGCTGAAATAGCATTGTGAACATTTATATTGAGAAGGGTTATAATATTAAATGTAGCATAAGATAATAGGTCAGAGTGTCACAGGTAGCCTACCTTATTATGGGGTAATATGGTACAAATTGTTTTAGCTGCAAGAAATAATAGGCATTTAAAGGCAACTTCTAAGTGGCATATATATTGTAATTGTTTGAAACAGTTATTCTGCCACATACTTCAATGAAATAATGCATCGTAAACATTTAAGTCACAACTATTTTTACAATTGCCCCCACCCTCACAGCCACGATAAGACTGACGAGCAAGCGATAGACTCTTTCATTCATGTTCTTTACCCCACAGTCAAGAGATAAACTAGATATAAGTTTAAATTCAAAGGCATGTTAACTTTATACAGCAGTATTGGACATCTCAAAATCATTTTCATACCCCAAAATCTGTTTTCCGTTATATTTTTTCTCCTGAGGTGCATTTCCCGCTTCTTCTCCTCAGGTAAAACAGGATGCAATTGCGCATGCGCTGAAAATGTCACGATATGTTGTTACGATTTGTTTTGGTCTCTACTAGCCTACCTAATATTGCACTAGCCTATATCTGAATTGATGTAACAAGCGAGCGTTGTAAATGTATGTACAATTGTAAATAACATGTAAATTAATTAATAAATATATCTTTATATGAGTTGACTTTGATCATGTTTATGTCCAGAGGCCAGTACTTACAAAGTTATACAACCTATTGTTTGTAAATGGTGAATTACATGCTAAATGGGTAGGCCCACATTTGTTTTAATCAGTCAGTACCACAAAAAAACAAACCTAGAACTGTCATATTATCATCATTTTAGCATGGTAATGCCTAGTATTTTTGTAAAGGAAAAATACATATTTTAAATAATAATAATTAATTATTATAATTATTAATAATAATATTTATTATTATTTATAATAACAGCAATAACATTTTAACTATAGCTGCGCTGTTGTAAACGGACTGTCATTTAATGGTCAGTAAATGTTTACATCGTCATAGTTTGAAAATATTTTGTCACACAATAATTTCACAGACTAAAAGTTAAGAAAGATGCCCCAGCCCGTGAAGTGCAGTAACGTTACATCTAGTGATCCAGGCCTATAGTAACTAGTCGCAGTAAGTAACTCAACTCCCGTCTGATGTCATAAATAGTAACTGAAGCCCTGAACTACTGAAAGCATCTGAACCGCCTCTTACCGGGACGAGAGAAGAAAAACATGGCGAACTTTCCTCTGGAATAACTGTTTTCTGAAGAGCTGCTGAGCGTTTCTGCAAGTACCGTGCGTGAATTCATTTCCGCATCAACACGCGATCTGAATCTGAATCTGAATCTGAAGACGCTTTATTCGGGGAAACCAGGCTTTTTTTTCTCATGGATTCGGAGCGTGTGAAGTATCATGGGATGAAAGTTTGAAACAGTTGGATACTAAAGTAGGACAGGATGGAGAAACAAGGAACAAGACGCGAAAAGGTAAATAAACGCAGAACTAGTGTGAAATGTGAGGCTTGATTGTGTTGTGTAACAATGTGATGTAAAACTGGATTTATTACTGCGTTGTATTTCCATTAAAGCTGGCTTTCCTGTTGGCGTGCAACAGAGTGCAGTATAAAGCCACATACACTAAAAACTGTCAAATTTGACATGCTTTCAGTGTTTTAGATTCTTTCCAGTACTCTTTTTTTTTTTTTTAGATCTAGAGGGTTATTATGCAAGTTTAGATTGTTATTGATTAACATGTCATTGCTGCTGTTAATAGATTTACAGTGTGCTTGCATGAAATGCATTAATGGACTAAATTACCAAGTGTATTTTTGAGCTAAACTGAGACTAGGCTGCAACACTTTCGTAATGCTGAATCCTGACATTTCATCTCAGAGACCAGCCTACTAGAGGAAATGAAAAGTCACAGTCAGTAAATAATCATGACAGGCATCATGCACTTCATGAAAAGCGCACGGTGAGATGAATGGTGAAATATCTGGACTGGTGACCCAGAGGTTGTAGGTTCAAGCCCTGCACGAGTTGATCCATAAATGATGTGAAAACGCTTCACGTTGGGTTACTGCTACATTTAAGTTGTTTTGGATAAAAATGTCAGATAAATGGCAAAATAGTGTATAAATCTGTAAAAAAAAGCAACTTTTTAAATCCCTGACACAGGCCTTTTTTAAAGGGGTCATATGATGCGATTTCAATTTTTCCTTTCTCTTTGGAGTGTTACAAGCTCTTGGTGCATAAAGAAGATCTGTAAAGTTGCAAAGACTAAAGTCTCAAATCCAAAGAGATATTCTTTATAAAAGTTAAGAGTCAGCCACGCCTACCTAAAACGGCTCGTTCTAACACGCCCCAACATACCTACATCGCTCTGTGGGAAGATTTGCATAACGCCCAGACCTGAAATTATGTGAATCTACTTAAAGACACATCCTAGACGAACAATTTTTTTTTGTTGAAACAGTCTGACAGAGTTGTGCAAACAATTTCATATCGACCAGTATTGCTAATTTATTAATGGTTTGTGAGCTCCCAGCATGCATTGCAGTGTGAATCAAATGGAGTTTGAGTAAATTATGTGGTTAGTGTTATAGGATTATTGATCTGCTGTTTGCTGACTTGATTTGTGCTGCTGCTGCTATTGTTATTTTGTCTTCATTTCTGTTATATGTTTATTTTGAGAGCTCATCAATTACTTGTTTGTTCATAGTCTCCACTAAAGTCTCTATAGTATGTGTGACTATTGTGTATATTATATTGCTTAAAATGCACTTTACAAGCAATATTGCAGAATTTTCTTTGATTATCACTAATTAATTTCTTCAGTTGCTAATTTATAACTTACAGAGCTAGATATACATATAGTTGAACTGTCAAGAATTTAAAGTCAAATTATCAAGAATTTATTGATTTAAGACATTTTGCATTTAGTGGACAAACAAATTCAAACTTGAGAACTTGATGCATCATGTTGCCTTGAGATATATATATATATATATATATATATAGCTCACAACTTTGAGATATATCAGTTTTAAGTAAATAATACATTTATTTAAGTTCTCAACTTTGGCCCTTGAGGTCCACATTCCTGCAGATTTCAACTTCAACCACACCTGAACAACTTAATCAAGGTCTTAAGGATTACTAGAAAGTTACAGGCAGGTGAGTTTTAGGCTGGAGCTAAACTGAATGAAAGTAGACCTTAAGGGCAAGAGTTGAGAACCTGTGATTCAGCATGTAGCCTTCAAATATTAAGTAAACATTGTTTGAAAAAGATTAAGCAAAACGTTAGCAATAAAATGAAGAACAGAGAAACACATTATATATTACATAAACAAGTGGCAGGTCTATTAGTCTGCATTTAGCAGTGTTGGGGATGCTACTCTGAAATACAGCTACAAGCTACTCGTAAATTAAAGTAGTTAAGCTACATTCAAACTACCCTTTTGAAAAAGGCTCACAACTTTGAGATTTTTATTTTTGTATTAGCCTACAGTAATCAGAATTTTTGGGCTTAAAATTTGCTTATTTGTGAAAAATAATGTCAGAATGCAAATATATATTTGTGTTACTGAAAACAGGCTTCATTTTCTTTAAACAAAAAAATAATTCTTATCTCATTGTTTTTTGTGTTAAATAAGAATCAAATATGTTCTTGACAGTGTTGTTTTAGTATTATTTATATACTGTTATAATTTTTATTAGCATTTATTTTTATATTTTCAGTTTTCATTTAGATTTTTAGTTTATAATAGTTATTTTTATTTTTTAAATTTTTTTCTTATTTCTTTTATCCCGATGGAGGAAGTCAGTTGTTGTCAGTGACACTCAGTGTGTACTGTACCTTACACTAGGGAGTAGGATGTAGCTCACATCACGTTGTCATCCAGGCGTCCTCCACCGTGGTCGTTCCCAGCAGACCATGACATGTTTTGTGGTGTTTTCAGACTCACCAGATGTTCATGGGTGCACCTGTGTTTTCTTTGAACCCAGACGGAGAGAATGCGGAGAAAATTTCCAACTGAATCAGTCTAGGGGGTGTTTCAGGGGACAGCCGACTCTTCAGTGTAGCCTGCATGGTGTTTTTGGCAGAGTAAACAAATCAACTTGAATGAAATATTTACTGGCAATAGTCACCAACCATGAACAGCAACAGTACTCAAAGATAAACTTTCCCATGCCTCCAGTCATATTTGATCACTTTTTTTCCAGAAAAAATTCCATTCACTCATGCACACATGCATCCTGATTGCAAAAATATCATGCAAAGAATATGCACCAACTAGCTGAACTATGATCCAGCCAAAGTTGTTTTTTAACTGGTTTATCTTCAAAACGTAGATGTTACGTAACCCAAATGCAATATTAAAATTGTATATCATGCAAAAATAAACAAAAAAGTCCTTAAAATCAAACATGGAAATGTATTAATTTCAAAACAAAGATCATATTATTTGTTTCACCTTCTTTCTAATTCAAAATTTAATGTTTAATTCAATGTGTTACTTGCCAATTCTTTGCAATTATTTGTGAAACTTATTAGCAATTTCTGAGTGAAAATGGTTTCTACACCAAATTTTTTTTCAGTGTACAAAATGGCAAGTGTTTTTGTTCCAAAATACTGTAAAGCTTTTATTTTGCTGTCTTAAGTATGCATATTGTTAAATGCAGTTTATCAGTTGCATTCACTTTATTGTCCTACCAGAACAGACTTGCAAATTATGAGGTTTAATGCTGTTCTAGGCTGGTTTGTTAGTTTGGCTGGTGTTGGTTAAACAAGAAAATATTGAGAATTAAGAATATTAAGAAATATTCAATAGAATTTGAATATTAAGAAATTTGCTGTCAATGTACTCACCCTCGGGCCATCCAAGATGTAGATGAGTTTATATCTTCATCAGATTTGGAGAAGTGTAGCTTTCCATCACTTGCTCACCAGTGGATCCTCTGCAGTGAATGGGTGCCGTCAGAATGAGAGTCCAAACAGCTGATAAGAACATCACAATAATCCACAAGTAATCCACACCACTCCAGTCCATCAGTTAACGTCTTGTGAAGCCAAAAGCTGCGTGTTTGTAAGAAACAAATCAATCATTAAAGAGATAGGCCTAGTTCACCCAAAAATGAAAATTCTGTTATTAATTACTCACCCTCATGATAGCACCCATTCACTGCAGAGGATCCATTGGTGAGCAAGTGATGTAATGCTACATTTCTCCAAATCTGTTCCCATGAAGATACAAACTCATCTACATCTTGGATGGTCTGAGGGTGAGGACATTTTCAGCAAATGTTCTTTTTGGGTTGACTATTCCTTTAAGCTAGTTAAGCTAATGTACAAAATGCAGCATACGCTGGTGAGCAGCTGTACTTTCTAACCAGCATTATGGGGTCAGCCTTTAGATGTTCGTGAGATGTTCAGATGTTTGGAAATGTTTGGGCAGAAGGCTGTAGACAGCTGTTGGACAGACAGATAGTGTAAAGTCGAGCTGACACCCCGCGGGCCCTTCTGAGCGGGCATCAACTTCTCCATCGGCTGCCTGATGCCTGCCAGAGGAGAGGCTTGTTTTCATTTTCCCAGGAATGCGACTCAGCCCCCTGACCTGCTCG